GCAGACCGGTTCAGTGCTTTGTGGTGCCTTGAATGTGACACAGCAGATTAGAGTGCTGGGCATTTCTCTGTGATGTCATTCATTGTTTTCCTTACTCTTTGTTGCCTATCTGGTGCTACCGTCTTCACCCGAATAGAACAACGACTGGTCATTATCGCTGCATCTGGACTGAAAGTTGCCCCAGATACGGCTATAATGATCAGGCGTTTTATTCGGGTGAAGACGGTAGCATTCACTTGAAGGGATGACCTTAATTGTAGAATTGCTTCCGACTTTGCAGGCAATATGTCCACTCCTGTAGCCAAAAGCCACACTGTGTCTCTTTTCAGACGATGTTGTTGTTTCGTAATCCTTTACTCCGAAAGACAGCTCAACAAACCATCTTGTTTGCGCTCATGTACCTGCCTTGTGGTTGGTTGTCCTCAGCATATTCGTAATAGCATAACTGCCAAGTTTTGATCCTATACGGCTGGATATACTTGAAGAGTTCATCGTGTATGTTATGAAAATGTTACGCAGCAAGGTCTCCATCCTATCACTGTGTATACTATCAAATGAATGCGGCACCCCGTGCACGCTTCAATAGCATGCTCCATCCTCATCTTAATGCATTATTAATATTTATTATCAATTAATGCGACTCTCGTGAGTGCTTCAATAGCGCACTCCATTCTCATCTTACAGCCTGCCAGAGGTCCTGCCAGTGAGTGCCACAAATTGGAAGTTCGCAATGTGGTCAGCTTCACACAGTGTCATGGAAGTGGATCGCTCTGACATTGAGTAATTGTGGGAGACGCTTGGATGCTGGGGTCGATATTTCAGGGCAATATGTTTTGTTCTAGATTGAAGGCGGTAGGTACAGTACATGTCAGCCTCTCCCTTGAAGCTGTTTTCCCAATTGTCCAACATGATATGAAAGTTGGTTATTGAGCACTCTCACCCTTTTTTGAGCAAGATGGCCCAAATGAAAAAAGGTTTTGAGCATTCTCCCAGACACACACACACACACACACACACACACACACACACACACACACACACACACACAC